AAAGCTGGTGCAGGCAGGGAGGACTGAGCTAACCACAGGGACCTTACCCCCTTCTCTCAGTCCTTCGGCTCCCTCTCCACCCATGACCTCCAGGCCTGCCTGTGTGTTTGACTAAAGGGCAGGGATTGCTGAACCTGCTGGGTGAGTCCAGTTGAATCAGAGGTGAATGGGGTGAGTGGGCAGGTGGGCAGGAGGGCAGACGGGCAGAGGGAGAGCCAGCGGCCCTGGGGCAATGGCTCTGACTGCATGTGTGTGGCGACTGACAGGGCTGCCAGGCACCCATGACCGACAAGTGAGGCTCACTTTGTAGGGGTGCTCTAAGGATTTTGGAACTGGGGGGGCTCCCATTTCTCCATTCCCTAGGCCCTCAGTCCAGTGCCTAGGCATCTCTCTAGCCTGTCTCCTTCCTCCCCCCGCCCAGTTCTCTGCCTCTTTCCCTGTCCATCTTCTACCTTTCTTTAAGGGTGAACCCTGGGGGACTGGACCCTGGGCTGGGCGTCTGTGGTGTGTGTGTGTGTGTGTGTGATTTTTTTGTGGGGAGGGACTGATAAATGACTATTTCAATTCTGAGCAGGCTTCACCCAAAAAACAAGGAGAATTCACTGTGGTCAAGAAGCAGATATTGGTGAGGTGAGTGGGGTTGGGTCCTGGATGTGGAGAAGCTGATCTGTGCCCCATCCAAGTCCCTCTTTATGAGTTGGGGGGCATGTTCCTGGGTTTTGGGAGCTGTACTCTCAGGAAGTGGGGTCAGTCTCAGGCTTGAGAAGCCAGACCCAGTCAGAATCAAGACTGGGGGGGATTAGTTCTTGACTGGTAGTTACCCTCAGATCAGCCTTAGTTTGGAGTCAACCTTGTGTTGGGGAAGGGGGAGTTGGTTCCAGGTTTGGGACATTAGTCATAGAATTAGCTCCAAGTTTGGAGGGTTGGATCCTGTTTCAGGGTTAGGATAGGCTCTGGACTGGCGTTCAGGGTCAACCCAGTGTTGTGTATCACAAGATTCCTCCTATCCCCAGCTGTTCCATTGGCCACACTATGGGGCTCCGCTGGTTGGGGAGTGCCTGTCTGTGCAGGTGGTTAACTGCAGCCATGTGTTCAGCCCCAGGTGAGTAGGCCTGGGGGAGCCAAGGATGCAGGTAGGGCTGGACGTGGCATGGGGCCATCCCCCTGGGTCATTCTTCTGCTCCCTGCCACACCCGCAGGTCTCTCGGAACACTGGTGATCTCCCTGCTACAGAGTACGGGAGGCCCTAGTGGATGAGAATCTGTGAGTGACCCTGGTGAGTCCCACCAGTCCTCAGCCTGCCATCCCCAAGCCTGAGAGTCCCTCTAGACAGAGAGTTCCATTTTTCAGAGGGGAAAACTGAGATCCAGACAGGAGTGGTAACAAGGCCACCCAGCCAGGACTCCTTTCACTGTGGCCCCTACATGGGCTAGCCCCTACATGGGCTAAGGGCGAGGCTCAGCTCTGAGGACCAGGGGTGTGGCAATGGCGGAAGAGAAGTTCTGTTCTGCTCCCTGGCCTGGGACCAGACTAAGTTCTTTTGGGAGGGAAAGATGAACCTGGCTGGATTTTCCTGGTGTTTCATGGAGGGTCATATAACCTGGTAGGAATGGAACTGGGTTCCAATCTCAGATACACCATTTCCCAGCTGAGAACTTGGACAAGTTATTTAGCTTCACTAAGCTGTTTCCTCATTTACATTATGTGGAGTCATAGGAAATGTTGAACTTTTCAGTCTGTTGTTTGTTGAGCTCTGATTGTAAGCTGTGCCAGGCAACGAGGATTGAGTGGTGAGCACAGCCAGATAAGGATTTGCCCTCTTAGAATTCTATATCTAAAGAGAGAGGCAAACATTAAACAAATATTCACACGAATAAATGCAAAATTGTCACTGATGGGTGTTACAAAAGAGCTGGTAGGGGGTTGGGAAAGTGTATAACAGAGGGATGTAACCTATTTGGGGGTCAGCTAGGGTTCCCTGAGGAAGTAGTGGTTGAACTTTGAATGGAAGGATGATAAGAGTTAACTAACTCCCAGTGCTCTGAGAGAGCATAACTGGGGTGCAGGGCAGGAGCAGACCTCATATGAGACAGGACTGGAAAGGTTGGCAGGGGCCAGACCATGCAGAACAGTGAAGCCCACCGTCATGAATTTCCAAGAGCAACAAGAGAATTCTGTAGTCGTGTTTGGCCCCTTCAGGAGGTAACTAGCACATGCTAAGTTCTTAATAAGTTGTCGATATTATTAATGACCAGAGAGGAACCACAAACTAATCACAGATGCAGGCCAGGAAAAGGCATTGTCTTTGGACTTCTTTTAGCCCCAGGCAGTTTGAGGGGCGCTGGGGCACACTGTGTGTTTGGTTTCAGATACAGGTGGAGCTTGACCTGAAGTATCAGCCCCCAGAGGGTGCAACTGGAGCCTGGGCAGAGGAGGATTTTGGAGTATCCATCCGGGACAGGTACCCTCCCCAACCTCCTGCCATCTAAGCAAGACCAGATTGTCCCAGCCCAGGCAGGTCGTGGAAGGGAGAACTGGGACCTAATTCCTCTCTGGATCTGCTGCATGTGGTGACCCTTGGACCTGTGCTGCCCAGGCTGCAGCTCTGTGGTCACACACAGCCCCTCACTCCTTTCATTTATCCTCCTTCCAGCTCAGAACTGATCATCCCCAATGTGGGCTTCTAGGAGCTGGAATAAGTATGTGGGGATGATCTCGGACCACCAAGTCAGTCTTGGGATTAGGAGTCAGTGGCACAGGGTCAGTCCCAGGGTCTGTGATCAGTATTTAATCAATTCTAGGGTGAGAAGTCAGTCCTAGAATCAGGAGTCAATTCTGGAATTAGGGGTCCCAGGTTAGGGGTCAGTCTAATGGTCAGAAATCAGTCCTAGGGTCAGGGAAGTCAAGGGGTGCCCAGAGATGTGTGACAGGTTCCAGACATGTCCCTTGAAGGCCTTTCCTATCAGGCCCGGGGAGGCCTGGCTGGAGAGGCAGGCGGTGGCATTGGGCCACAGGCTAGCTCAAGGCCTAGCTCAGCAGGATGATGAAGACAATGAGCTGGAGCTGGAGCTGGAGGACAAGCCTGATGTGGAGCTTTCTGGTGTTGTGTTCAGCCACCTCAAGAGGTAACTTGTTCCCACTGCACACCTGCTCCCACACCCACCAGTGTGTCAACCTCACACGCTTATTATACATGTAGGCCCGTGCTCATCCACACTCAGAATCACATGATCCCAAGGTGTGGGTGAGGAGTGGATATCCTGGGGCCAAGGGTCACTTATCCTAGACATACCCCCTGCCCCATTCACGCACACAGTTACACTGGCACACCTGGGGCTTCTGGAGCCCACTTAGGGGATGAAAGCTTGATGAGGGTAAGGAATTTTGTCTCTTTTGTTCACCGCAGTGTCCCAGGGCCTAGAATAGGGTTGGCACATAGTAGGTGTTCAACAAATCTCTGTTGAATGAGTGAATGGTCTCAGGGCTCCAGGAATAAGTCAAATTCTGGGTATATGGTTGAGATGGATGCCAGACAGACTGAAAGGACTCAGAATCCAGAAGTTCAGAGGGAGAGGAGGTCTTATCTGTAGTGCTGAGCAAGAGTGTGTAGGAGGTCCAGGAGAGGAAGTGAAGTGAGAGCTGACCTTGTCCTTCCCACAGGCAGCCGAGCTCCGGCCCTGGCCAGAGGGGATCCTTTCCAGGTGTTCAGAGCTCGGGACTTCCAGGTACCGTTCTCCCTCTGGGCCTGAACCCTTGGGGAATACCACCCACTCTCCACACACTTGGGTTTCCCCCCTACTTTGGCAGGGATGGCTTCCTTTTCTCTTGCTCCTGCCCCCTTCAGGTGGGGGTCACAGTGCTCCAGGCCCAGAAGCTGGTAGGAGTCAACATTAACCCCTACGTGGCAGTGCGTGTTGGGGAGCAGCGCCGAGTGACCGCCACGCAGCGCGGGACTAACTGCCCCTTCTACAACGAGGTGCGTGCGACTAAGGAAGAGTGGGGCCTGAGAGAACCGGTGGGACCCAGGATTTACCCTGTCTGCGGAGGGGGCGTGGCCTAGGTGGAACTGAGCAAGTGCCTGAGGTTAAGAGGGGCTCCGTGAGGGAAAGGGTGCCAAGGGGCGCCAGGACGGGGAGGGGGGCGTTCTCTTTGCAAGAGGCAGGGGCCAGCTGGCGTAAACCCTTCACATATACTTTCTCTCACCTCTCTTGTTACCCCACTTGAACCTAGTACTTCTTGTTCGAATTTCATGAGACCCGGCTTCACCTCCAAGACTTGCTGCTGGAGATCACGGTGAAGCGGGTAGGAATAAGAGGTATCCGCCAGAGAAAGGGGGATGCCGAAGTTCCAGAACTAACCCCACCTTCCCCCAGGCTTTCCATTCGCAGACCCTCCCCTTCATGGCCTCCCAGATAGGCACCTTCAGGATGGACTTGGGCATTATCTTCGACCGGCCAGGTACCGAACCCTCCCCTCCTTTAGACTCATCTGCACCGACAGGGGAAATTGACCCTCTGGGCCCTGATCCCTAGATACTAACTTCGGAGACAGAAGCCTCTTCCTCAGGCTGACCTCCAGGCACTCCCGCTCCTCCTTACCGAGTCGGACATGAACCCGGGTCAGCGCAGCCCCACGACTGCCCCGTGCAGCCCGCGGGTCTCCCCTGACCCGTGGCTCGCCCCTCCGCCCCCAGATGACCACTTCTACCAGAAATGGGCTCCGCGGCACGATCCCCGGGACACCCGTGCCGGGACCAAAGGCTTCGTCAAGGTCACTTTGTCCGTGCGGGCGCGCGGGGGCCTGCCCCCTCCGCTGTCAGCCCCGGGCCCCGGGCACAGTTCGGACATCGAGAAGTGAGCTGGGGTGAGGGCGGGTGGGGAGGGGGAGGGGGAAAGGAGGACCGGGCGTGGCCTCCGGGAGGCAGAGAGGGGGAGGGGCCGAGACGGCGGCACCCCCCCGGCCTCAGCGTCCTGCCCGCGTAGAACCTGCTCCTGCCGCGCGGGTGCCGGCCCAGAGGCCGTGGGCGCGGCTGCGCGTGCGCGTGGACCGCGCAGAGGGGCTGCGGGCGCTGCGCCCGGGGCTGCTGCGGAGTCCGGCCCGCGCCCTGCAGGCCCAGCGCGTCCTCCTGGACCCCTACGTGCGCGTGTCTTTCCTGGGGCAGCAGGTAAGTCCCTCCCGTCGGGCGCTGGTCCCGCACCGACCCCTCTCCGCCGGCCTTCGCGGCGGCCCTCAGGGCGAGACGTCCGTGCGCGGCGAGGCGGCGGCGCCCCAGTGGAACGAGCCCCTGAGTTTCGTGGGGCTCTTCCCGCCGCCGACGCGCGGGCTCCGTCTGCAGCTGAGGGACGACGCGCCCCTGGTCGATGCGGCCGTCGCCACGCGCGTGCTGGACCTGAGGCAGATCTCACACCCGGGCCGCGCGGGTGAGCGCATTTAGCCAGCGCCTGCTGCCTCCGCCTGGCCCGGCCTGCCCTGGGTCCCGCGCCCGACGGCAAACGCCACCCCGGAGACCCCCCGCTCCGCGTAGAGTTCGGGCCACCCCCGGTAACCTGTGCTCCAGGCCGGCCCCTCCCTTCGGAGCCTCACCTGTTGCCCCCAGACTACAAACCCCGCTCTCGGGTTGCCGCTGGTGACAAAAGCCTTAGTACAGCTGCCTCTCCAGTCACCACGCCAGCTGTGCTCTCCCTACAGAAGTACACGTACAGGAGCAATCCCAGTCACATACATCATCGGTTTACCCAGACCCTCAAGGGATCACCCGCGGCTCCGGCCCAATCGTGACTCCACCCCCACGGCGCTGGCTCTGGCCCCAGAGCCACAGCTCCTTTGTCCCTAGCGTCTTTGGGAGCTGGACTGGTTTAGAAGTGGCTCTCGGGTCTTGGTCCGTAGCTGTCGGTCCGCAGCTGTTCGCAGACTTCCCTCTCGGAACCGCCAAGGCCCAATCCGACTCCCCGCCTCCTTGGGTTTGCAGGAGATAAGGGTGTGCTGCATAGACTGACCTGGTACCTATCTGCCCCATGCTCCCCTCCAAAACGCTGTTCTTGTCCCCCACAGCGGGGTTTAACCCCACCTTCGCCTGGCATGGGTGCCTCTCTGTGGCTCTCCCCCCAGCGGGGGGCTCCAGGATGGTCTTCAAAGTCTCAATGAAGGCCTTGGCCAAGGCATTTGGTTCCGTGGCCTCCTGCTGGTGGCCGTGTCCATGGAAGTGTCCAAAGGGAGAGCTGAACCTGAGCCTCCCCAGGCCCCACAGGGACCCAGATTGTCCCGGCTCATGAAAAAGAAGAAAGCCATGTGGGGGCCAGACCCCAGCGGGGATCCCACAGCACCTGGATGCCAGCTCCAGTGGAGATGGTCCTGAGATTCCTAGTGCCATGGAGGTGGAGGTGGAGGAGTTGCTGCCTCTGCCAGAGGTCTGGGCTGGGGTTTAGCAAAGCCAGAGGGTCACTCTCAGCTCTGGGGTGTGTAACTGGCCCCCAGGCATTTAACGCAGGAAGTGGAGTCTGAATTTTGGGGTCTGGATAAAGTGTGTGTATACATGTGCTCTTGTGAATATACATATGTGGGGAGGGGGCTGACCAGTCAGCGGATACTTGTAGTGACCTATCTAGGCCTTGGTTGCCATATCTTTCGGTGGGCATTGTGGCCAAGCAAAGTCCGGGGCGCAACCTGGGTAGGTGGGGGCTGATTGCAGACTGACCCTCCTTCCTCAGAATGCCCTGGCGCCCTTGCAAGATTTCCTGCTCTTTGGTGTGCTTTTCGAGGCCACCATGATTGACCCTGCCTTGGCCTCCCAGCCCATCAGCTTCGAGATCTCCATTGGCGTGTGGCCTAGCTGGACCCCTGAGGGTCACGGGTTTGAGGATGGTGACTCTTGTTCCGGACTTAGGCCCCTGGAAGGGACAGTTGGCCCTCAGTAAGGGGTGGGTTCTGAATTTTTTTGAGGCAGAGGAGGTGTGAAGGAGGGGTCAGCCCCTCAGCCTGGTGCCCTCTGACCCTTGCTGCTCTGGCAGGCCGCGCAGGCTGCCGGGAGGAGCAACTGGGCCGAGGGTCCAGGGCCGGGGAGGGAGCGGAGGGCGTGGAAGCACGGCCTCTGCTGGAGCCGGATGTGGGAGTCGGGCCAGTGGAGGAGGAGGAGCTAGGGACCCCTGCCCACCGGCCTGAGCCCACGGACGGCAACGGGTGAGTGTTCCTGGTGGCTGGAAGGAGGGCGTTGGGAGGTCCCTAGCGGCCCACGACTGCCCCTCGCCCCCTCTGCTCTCCTCTGCCCCGCGCAGGCCCTACTTGTGCGTGCCCCTGCGTCACCGCAAGCCGTGCGTGCGCGTGTGGAGCCGCTGGGAGGATCACACGGGGCGCCCGCAGAGCACTAACTGCGTGCGGAAAGTGGCCGAGAGGCTGGTGAGGGCGAGGCGGGCGCCCACAGGGAGAGGCCGGCACGTAGGGGTGTCGGGAAGACGGCGGCCTTTGAAGGGAGCTCTGGGGCGAGGCTAATAGGTAGAGCACGGGGGAGCCAGCACCTCGCAGGTGCAAGGCTGGAGAGCCAAAGAGGACAGCTCTGGGCGAACTGAGGCCAGAAATTGTGGGAAGACAGGGCTTCACGGCTGCTACACCCAGGAAGGGGCCGGGCGAAGGACGTGGGTAAAGCTACTGGGGGTCCAGCCCCCCAGACGTGGAGCCAGCAGAGAGCTAGAAAAAAGGAACCACGAACAGGGTGAGGCTAAAGAAGCAAAGGGCCCAGAGGTGCGGCCGTGAGTGGGCCGGGCTTGCGGGGGGCGGGGGGTGTTCTAAAAGAGGTGGGACTCGTGACTCTGACCCTCGGCCCTGTTGCACGCAGGACCAGGGGCTGCAGGAAGTTGAGATTCTGCAGCGCAGGCCGGGGCCTGGCGCCTACGCACGGCTGAAACAGGCGCTGGAAGAGCTGGTAGCGGGGAGCAGGTGAGCTGGGGGCCTCCGCCTCAGTGTGGCGGGTCACTGCGCCAAATACCAGGGTCAGGGAGGCTCGCGGTGGCTGTTTGGAGCCAAGGGCGACTGGAAGCTGCGTTTGCTCAGCACTTTTACAGAAGAATGAGAAGGAGATGATTATCTATATCAAGGGAACTTGATGGAAATTATTGGGGGTTAGGCCACTGCCCTCCAGTAGGCTCCCTTTCTCCCTCTCCTAGAGACCTAAGCTCCCTTACCTGCCCTCCCCTCAGAATCTCCCTTGCTTCTTTTCTCCACACTTGTTCCAGCTACTGACTTCCCCTCCTTCTTCATGGAGAAAATAGGAGCCTCGTCTTCCTCCATCCAGTCAACCGCCTTGCCAGCTCTGCATCCATCTGCTCACTCTCCCTCCTGCTACAGCAGAGGAAGGGTCCCTGCTCCCATAGCCATGGCTGTGATCTTGATTTCATCTCTCACCTACTAGAGGAATTAGCTCTGCAGTTGTCCACTTTCTCTCCTGCAGCATCAACTGGTCCCTAGTTACCAGGTCATTACTGTAACCACATGTACTTGTTCTAGTGACTTCCATCTTTGACCTTCACTGCCCTGAATTCTATAACCTGCTCCAGGTACTTGAGTGTTTTTCTGATCCTCTTCTCAAAAGATTTATTAATCCATTTATTCAATAAATATTTATGGCACTTACCATGCCAGACACTGTTTTAGGTACAGGAATAACAGTGAAAAAGCATTCTTGCTGACAAAAAATCCTGAAATTTATATTCTGGTGGGGGATAGGATGGGAGTTGGATGCAAACAGATAAGAAACATGTAAACAGCAAGGAAGACATATAAGAATTATGATAAGGATAGTGTTAGGGAGAAAACAAAGCTAGGAAATATTAGAAGTGTTGCAATTTTAGAAAGGGTGGCAAGGAGAGGCCATTGTGAAGTTGACATGAAGAAACTGAAGGCGCAAGCTGTATCTGTAAGGGTGTTCCAGGCAGAAGGGATAGCATGAGCAAAGGCACTGTGGTGAAACATGCTGGGTGTGTTTGAGGAGAAGGAAGGGAACAATGTGACTGCAGCAGAGTGAGCAGAGTAGATGAGGCTGCAGGGTGTGGGGGTGGGGTGGGGAAGGAAGATGATGGTGGGGAGAGGCATGTGGAAGCCTCATTGGCCATTATAATGACCTTGGCTTCTCTGAGTTAGATCAGGAGCCACTGATGGTTTTGAAAAGAGAAGGGATATGCTCTAACTTATCCTTAAAAAGGGTTGGTGGCAGAGGGATAATATAAGAGAGGAAGCAAAGAGATTACTAAAGAGGGCATTGTGATAATCCAGGTGACCAATAATGATGAATCTAGGGTGGTTGCAGTGGACATAAAGTGACATGAATGGATTCAAGAGCAATTTGAACTTTGGAGGGGACACCTCAGGACTTGTGAATGGAAAGTATAGGGGATGAGGAAAATGTGCAGAGTCATGAATGACTCTCAAAATCTTGGCTTGCACAACTATATAGATGGTGCTATTTACTGAGTGATGGAAAACAAGAGGGAGAAAGTCTGATGGGAACAAAGGGAATATCAGAAGCTCATTTGGGGTATGTTAACTTTGAGATGTTTATTAGACTTAGAAGCAGACATGTCTGCTAGGCAGCTAGCTGTATGAGTTGAGTTCTGGGGAGACTTTCAACACATAGATGGAACTGGATAAGATTACCTAGGGAGCAGAGAAAAAAGAAATCTGAGGACCTGGAGAGCTCCAGCATGCAGAGGTAGGGTGAAAGGAGGACTCAGTCAAGGGCCTGGTTGTAGGTGGGTTGTAGGTGGACACTTTTCTGCTCTCAGTGTCAGTGGACGCAGTTGACCCCACCCTCCTCTTGAAAGACTCTGCTGTTGGCTTCCATGCCCCTGGTTTTCCTTCTGCTTCCCTTGCCATTCCTTCTCTTTTGCTGGCTCCCTCTCTCTTCTTGTACTGTACATATTGCAAATGTTTGTGTGATTATGTCCCAGGGCTCCACTGTATCTTTTCTCTGTCTACATTCTCTACATCTCCCAAAGAGTAACCACCCTTAATCCAATTTAATTCCTTGCTTGATTTTCTATACAGTGCAATTACACTGTTTCTATTTTCACTATACTAAAATTATTTTATTATTGAAATTATTCTTTGGCAAGGAAATTTCAATGAAAGATTTGTCTATATCATATTTCACTATTTATAGCTTTGGCCAGTGTGGTTTTCTTTTGTGGCTATTATTTCTATCAGATCCAATTTCCGTGAATCCAGTCTTACAGATCTAAATCTTATCAAGAAGATTTGACTCAGGGCGCCTGGGTGGCTCAGTTGGTTAAGCGACTGCCTTCGGCTCAGGTTATGATCCTGGAGTCCCAGGATCGAGTCCCACATTGGGCTCCCTGCTCAGCAGGGGGTCGGCTTCTCCCTCTGACCCTCTTCCCTCTCGTGCTCTCTGTCTCTCATTCTCTCTCTCTCAAATAAATAAATAAAATCTTTAAAAAAAAAAAGATAAGATTTGACTCAAGATTTATTTTGTTGATTATTTCTACCAATGGAAGTCTTGGGAGCAAAGAGCATTAGTAAGCTAAAAGTGTAAGCTCTGGGAGCAGTATTAGGTGAAAAATCCTTGGAGTTATTTATTTTATATATTTTTTAAAATTTCCATAATAAAAACTTAAGAAATCATCATGGGGGCACCTGAGTGGCTCAGTTGGTTAAGCGGCTGCCTTCAGCTCAGGTCATGATCCCAGGGTCCTGGGATCGAGCCCCGCATCGGGCTCCCTGCTCGGCGGAGAGCCTGCTTCTCCCTCTCCCTCTGTTTGCCGCTCTGCCTACTTGTGCTCTCTATCTCTGTTAAATAAATAAATAAAAATCTTCATAAAAAAAAAAAAGAAATCATCATGGGTCATAAAGGGCCCAAAATATTATGTCTCAAAAATCATTTGGGGTGCCTGGGTGGCTCAGTCCATTAAGTGTCTGCCTTTGGCTCAGGTCATGATCCCGGGGTCCTGGGATCGAGCCCCATATTGGGTTCCCTGCTCCACAGGGAGTCAGTTTCTCCCTCTCCCTCTGCCCCTCCCCTCTACTTGTGCTCTCTCCCTCTCAAATAAATAAATAAAATCTTTAAAAAAATCATTTTACTTTACCCAGGAAATATTTTTTCAGCATCGATTAGGTGCCAGGGCCTGAGGGTACAGTGGTAATCAGAATGAAGTCCCTGCCCTAGGAACTTTCTATTACCTTTTATTTGGAGAGACAAATAAAGCAGACTATGAGGATAGAGAAAGTGGCCGGGGCTATTTAGATGGGATGATCAGGAACAGTCTGAGAGGAGGTAACATTTGAGGAGAGGCCTGAATGGAGACAGGAAGTGAGCCATGCAAAGATCCAGGGGCTAAACATTCTAGCAGAGGGAGCAGCTAATACAAAGGCCTGGAGGTGGTGATGGGCTGGTGTATTCCTGGAGGAGCAGAACAGCCTGTGTGACCATTGGGTTGTGCATGAGGGGAGAGTAGTATTTGATGAGGACAGGGAGGTCAAGGGAGCCTGATTATGTCGGGCCTTTTGAAGAATTCCGTTGTTTACTCTGAGATGAGAAACCTCTGGAGAGGAGTGAAATAGTCTGGAAAAGTGTTGACAAGATCACTCTGGATGCTGTATTGAGACTATTCGGGCGTGGCGGGCGGGGGGGAAGAGTGGACAGCAGACATGGGAAGAACAGCTAGGAGGCTGTTGCAGTAGTCCTAGGTGGGAAATGATGGTGGCTTGGACTTGGGTGGTGCTAGGAAAGGAGAAAAGTGGTCAGATGCTGAACATATTTTGAAGGTAGAGCCTAAATAATATGCCAGTGGATTGATGTGGAATGTGAGTAAAAGAAAGCAGTGAAGGGTTTCTCTGAAGTTTTGAAGTAAAACAGGGTTTTTGGGGGGTGGGGGGTAATTGGAAATCGTGCACTTGGTTTGAGCTACCACTGGTCAATTTGGGGACTGTCAGGCACAGCCCGTCTGAGCCTTTAGTGTGCGTTGGAATCCGCCAGGGAATAAGCATGCAGGTTCTAGCAGCAGGTCTGGGGCGGGGCTGGTGCTGTGTTTCTAACTAGGTGGTTGTAATGCTGTTGGTCCTGGGCCAGCCTTGAGTAGCCAGGCAGTAGATAGTTACATACTAGTGCATTCTGGGGCTCCAAGGGGAGGCTGGCCTCTGAATTGGGGAGTGGTCCACATACAGAAGCCATGGTTGGCTTAGGAACGTGAGAGAGAGGGGCTGTGAGGAAGTCTGCGGGTGGGAGGCCTGCTCTGAGGGAGGTGGCCCCCAAGGGTCCGCGTTCCCTCCTTTGACTCCCACCTGCCATGCCTGCCCCTGCTCGCTGCAAACAGTTCTGCCACGGTGCTGAGCGCAGGACAATGACCTGGCCCAACGCCCTGGATCGCTGCCGAGAGAAACTGCTGGTGCATAGCCTGGTATGGTCTGGGGAAGGGGGACCTGGGGCACCTAGCTGGGGCCCTCCACTCATGTTTTCTTCATGCCCTTCCAGAACCTGTTGGCAAAGCAAGGACTGAGGCTTCTATGGGGTCTGAGACAGGGCAATGTGCAAGAGAAGGTGGCACTGGCCAAGCAGCTCTTGGCAAAACTGTGCTTCCTGGCCCAGGAGGTAACACCGGGCCACCATTTCCCTACCCTGAATACCCTGGTGGTGATGGTTGCCCAACAGTGATGGATGCACAACAATTACTACTGAACTGTACACTTAAAAATGGTTGCAGTGGTAAATTTTATGCTACCCATATTTTATCACACACACACACACACACACAAAGAAGTCAGGTTGGTCTTTGAGGTTGCCTGTGGGGCATCCAGGGGAGAGACGTCTAGGAGGCAGATGGCCACATGGATCTGGGGTTTACGGGTCTGTGTCAGGGCTATGTTGGGTATTTTGTCCATCTGTCCAGTGGAAGCTGTGGGAGCAGGTGGTCTCAGCTCTCTCCATGACCCCGTTCTCTGCCCGCAGCCCCAGCCACCCCTCCCAGATGTGCTGGTCTGGATGCTCAGTGGGCGGCGCCTCGTGGCCTGGGCCCAGATCCCTGCCCAGGATGTGCTGTTCTCTGTGGTTGAGGAGGAACGGGGCTGGGACTGTGGGAGGATCCAGAGTCTACTGCTCACAGTGAGGGGGTGTGGGTTGCTGGAGACTGGAGTGGGGTGAGGCTCTGAGGGTGGAAGTGAGGGGCACAGGGTAGAGGCCTGTGGTTCCCTACAAGGGGTCCCCAAAGTCTTTTTTTAGTGAAAAAACTTTATTTAAAATTTTTTTCAATTAAAAGAACTTTTTTTAAAGTTAAAAAATGTTTTATTTTAATTTTTAAAAGTATACCTTTTCAGTTATCCCAAAAGCCAAAAGAGGTTGTACCTTTACCTAGGTCCACTTTGATGTGAGACAAACACCAAGTTGTTTTTTTTTTTTTAAAGATTTTTTTTATTTATTTGAGAGAGAGAATAAGAGAGAGAGAGAGCATGAGAGGGGGGAGGGTCAGAGGGAGAAGCAGACTCCCTGCCGAGCAGGAAGCCTGATGCGGGACTCGATCCTGGGACTCCAGGATCACGACCTGAGCTGAAGGCAGTCGCTTAACCAACTGAGCCACCCAGGCGCCCAACAAACACCAAGTTTTGAGAGCTCTGGGCCTACACTGGCCGTTTGGCTGCCTGGGCTCCGACAGACGGGCAGGTAGTGAAGATGGGAGAGTGACTAGTCAGTTCCTTATAAGTACAGCTGGTTTGGGGCAAAATGTTTCTAACTGAGGTGTCCCTGGAATAGATGCCAACAGGGGTCCCTAGTGCTGAGGAGCTGTGACAACTGTTGGGGTAGGGGACAGGGAATCTAAATGTGTTGGGACGGAGGGGACCGAGGAGGTAAGTGTGGGGTGTGGGAGTACACAGTTTGGGAGTGTGGGGTTTGGTATAGGAAGTGATGGTGTTGGGGCAGGAAGACTAGGGAATGGGAGTGTTCAGGGTAATGGGGTACTGGATGGAGGGCAGGAAGTGGGATGAAAGGGTAGGGTACAGGGAGTACTCGTTGGATTTGGCATCGGGGAATGATCTATCGGTACAGAGAGTATGGGCATGGCCTGGGGGAGCAGGGGCTGGTCTAGCTGGGGTAATAAGAGGCAGACGCTAACATGCCACCTCCCTGCAATAGGCACCTGGGGCAGCTCCTGGTGAGGTCTGTGCCAAGCTGGAGCTCTTTCTGTGGCTGGGGCCGGGTAAGCAAGCCAAGGCTGCACCTCAGAGCTCCCCTGGGGACCTGCTGCCCGAGCCCCCCGAGGGGCTGCCACACCACCTGTACCAGGATGGTGAGTATAGGGCCCAGCTCGATATTCGCCCGAGGTGTGAGGCTAGATGCCCAGCTGGGGGCAGGGGGGAGGGGTCTGGGGTCAGGGACTCCAGTGGTCCCCTGAGCAAACATCTTTGTATTTTCCCCACCCTACTTCAGCTACTTCCAGCTCCGAGCTCACTTGTACCAGGCCCGAGGGGTGTTGGCAGCAGATGACAGTCGGCTTTCAGACCCCTTTGCTCGAGTCCTCATCTCTACCCAGTGCCAGACCACACGGGTGAGGGCTGAACTGGGATGTGGGTTGGGGGGGCTCCGGGAGACAATGTGGGGTAAAGGCTGAGCATTTCCTCAGGCCCTAAGTCTCTCTTCCTGCCCTGGATTTTCAGGACAGGATACTGGTTTGGACTGCCCTGATTTAGGGGGTCGTAGAAAACTGGAGGGCCTTCAGGGTGAGGAATTGTTTTCTGGGGTTGACTGTAGGACTAGCCCCAAGGGCGGCAGATTACAGTTAGGGGGACCAGGCTGGGAGGGCAGGCTCTAACCCCAGTCTGAAGGGCACTCTCATCTTTATCACACTCTCCCTCCTTTTGTGATAAACAGCTGCTTAAAGTATTACTTCAGGGCAAGAATGCTCACCTGGGATGTATGTTGGGAGATTCTTCGGATGCCTGCCTTTGACTCCCTCTCTGCATAGCCCCCAAGGTCCTGGAGCAGACACTGAGCCCCCTGTGGGATGAGCTCTTGGTATTTGATCAGTTGATCATAGACGGGAGGAGGGAGCATCTGCAGGAGGAGCCTCCATTAGTGCTCGTCAATGTCTTTGACCACAATAAGTTTGTGAGTGTGGCCTGGGCCCCACCTGCGTTTCCACCCCTGAGCGCCCCCACTCCTCATCTTGATGCCCCCCTCCCCTGGCTCCTGAGTGTCTTCTACTTTTGTCTTCACTGCCCTGCTCTCCACAGGGCCCCGCTGTGTTCCTGGGCAGGTCACTGGCTGCCCCAAGGGTAAAGTTGATGGAAGACCCTTACCAACGCCCTGAGCTGCAGTTCTTCCCCCTAAGGAAGGGGCCCAGGGCAGCCGGAGAGCTCATCGCCACCTTTGAACTCATTGAACTGGACTTCAGCGGCCGGCTCGAGGTCAGAGTACCCTGGCTTAGCCGGCACAGGCTGGGGACTCCTCTTGTTATTCTTTCAGGTGGTCCAGCTCCAGAGATTATGGAACATATCCTGGGGTTACCCCTCCAAGTATTTGCCCCCAGAGAATGCAGGCTGCAAATCTGTCCTGGGGTCACCTCACTGGACCTCCTGACTTCAGGGAACATTAGAAGCAGGCACACTGTAGGTTCACCTTGCCAGGTTTCCAGTCCTAGAGACCCGAGACTGCAGGTGGATCCTCGTGCCTCAGATGCCCACCCTCCCTTCCTGTACCTGGCTGTTTCCTGGGATGCGCCCTTCCTGCCCATCCAGCCTTGCCCAGTTCCTCTGGATTGAGATTTCACTGGCAGCTCTCAATGTCCCCTCCCTGAGCCCAGATCTCCCTCCTTTGGCCTGCTTCCTCCTTGATCTCTGATCTCTTGCCCCCTGCAGCCCTCAGTGCTAAGTGATGTAGAGCCCCAGGACCTGACACCACTGGTTGAGCACCTGTCTGGACACCTGTCCCTGCCACCTGATGTGCGTCCAGTGCTCAGGGAGTTCTGTGTTGAGGTATTGCTGGGCACACTCACATTCCCCCCCCCCCGCCTGCCACACGCACATCTGGGTGCCCTCTGTCAGATGCAGGCTGCTGAATTTCTCACTTCCTGACCCCAGGTGCTGTTCTGGGGTCTGAGAGGCCTTGGCTGTGTGCATCTCTTTGAGGTGGAGCAGCCCCAGGTTGTGCTGGAGGTGGCTGGGTGACGTGTGGAGTCAGAGGTCCTGGCCAGTTACCATGAGAACCCCAATTTCACTGAACTCGTCAGGCATCTGACCGTGGTGAGGACGTGGGCTGGGAGCAGGAAATGCTGGACTAAGAAGTGAAAGGGCAGTGGGATGGTGAATTCCCAGCCAGTTATCTTAATCAAGGGATCAACAAACTTTCTATAAAAAGCCAGATAGTAAATATTTTAGGCCATACAGTCGCTGTTGCAATTACTCACCTCTGACTTAGTAGCATGAAAACAGACACAGACAGCAAGTAAATGAATAAGTATGACTGTGTTCCAATAAAACTTTATTTACAAAAACAGGCAGTGGGCCAGATTTGGCTTGCAGGCTATAGTTTGCTAATCTCTGGATTAATCCATGAACTGGTGGTGCTCTCTTGGCTCTGTTGAATGAGTGGGTTAGGTAAGTGTCATGAAGTATAAGTCAAAAGGAACCTATCTAGTTTCTGAGACACCAGGGGCTAAGAAGAAAAATTCATGCTTTGTGTATTTTGTAATTCTTGTAGTGTGGACTTTGGACTCAAATTCTGACAATGCCGCCTCGGAGCTTATCAGATCACTTGTCTTAGTTGAGTCTTAGTGTTGTTTGTTTGTTTGTTTGTTTGTTTAAAGGAGTAACAGGTACAAAAGAAAGAAAGATTGAAGGTGATACACCAAATGCCTCCTTACAGGAGTGCTATGAGGAGCCAGTGAGGGAAAGGATCTTGGTGAAAGGGTTTGTAAACTGAAGAGTGCTGTGCCTGGGGGACAGGGACAAAGTGTTGTCCAGACTGCAATGGGGTAAAACCCCACAAGAACAAACAAAGAACAAAAACAACAAAAACCTTAACAGTTTCTTGACTCTGTTTCACATGCAGGAGTTTTCAATTTGAAAACTTGATTGTGCTTGTAAGCGGGTGAAGCTGAAAGCAGTTTGCTCACTGAACTTCTAGGGAGTGTTTCATTTCCCATCTCGTCATGCAAAGGGAGGAATATCCCTCTCCGTTTGTGCACTTGAAAAGAATGCCTGAGCATTCTTCGTTGTTGGGTAGAGTGCTCTACGGATGTCAGGTCAAGCTGGGTTGATAACATTATGTAAGCCTTAAAGCCTTCCTGGGGATTTTCTGACTAGTTCCGTCCATTGTTGAGAATATGCTATTGAAATCTGCAACTATTATTGTTAAATTGTTTTCCCTCCCTTTTATTTTGTTGCAGTTTACTTCTTATATTTTGAGGTTCTGTTGTTAGGTGCATATATGCTTACAATTGTTATAACTTCCTATGAATTGATGTTTATCATTATAAAATGTCCCTTTTTGCCTCTAGTAAATTTTGTGTCTTAAAAGTCTATTTTGCCTGATAGTATAGCCACTCCAGCTTGCTATGGTTACTGTTTGCATCACGTATCTTCCCTCATTCTTTTCCTTTCAACCTATATTATGTGTCTTTTTTTTTTTTTAAAGATTTTATTTATTTATTTGAGACAGAGAGAATGAGAGACAGAGAGCATGAGAGGGAGGAGGGTTAGAGGGAGAAGCAGACTCCCTGCCGAGCAGGGAGCCTGATGCGGGACTCGATCCTGGGACTCCAGGATCATGACCTGAGCCGAAGGCAGTCGCCCAACCAACTGAGCCACCCAGGCGCCCTATTATGTGTCTTTCTAAAGAGTGTCTCTTAGACATTAGGTGCATCTTTTTTTTTTTAAGATTTATTTATTTATTTATTTGAGAGAGAGAATGAGATAGAGAGAGCATGAGAGGGGGGAGGGTCAGAGGGCGAAGCAGGCTCCCCGCTGAGCAAGCAGGGAGCCCAATGCGGGACTCGATCCCAGGACTCCAGGATCATGACCTGAGCTGAAGGCAGTGGCTTAACCAACTGAGCCACCCAGGCGCCCAGGTGCATCTTTTTTTTTAAAGATTTATTTATTTGAGAGAGAGAAAGCGTGGCAGGCAGAGGGAGAGAGAGAATCTCAGGCAGACTCAGCACTGAGTATGGAGTCTGATGTTGGGCTTGATCCCACGACCCTGAGATCATGACCTGAGCCGAAATGAAATCAAGAGTCAGACACTTAACTGGCTGAGCTATCCAGGTGTTCCAGTAGTTGCATCTTTTTTTTCTTTTTTTTTTCTTAAAGATTTTATTTATTTGAGAGAGAGAGAGAATGAGAGACAGAGAGCAGGAGAGGGAGGAGGGTCAGAGGGAGAAGCAGACTCCCTGCCGAGCAGGGAGCCCAATGCGGGACTCGATCCCGGGACTCCAGGATCATGACCTGAGCCGAAGGCAGACGCTTAACCATCTGAGCCACCCAGGCGCCCGCATCTTTTTTTTAATAAAGATTTTATTTATTTATTTGACAGAGAGACAGTGAGAGAGGGAATACAAGCAGGGGGAGTGGGAGAGGGAGAAGCAGGCCTTCCGCTGAGCAGGGAGCCCGATGTAGGGCTCGATCCCAGGACCCTGCGATCATGACCCAAGCTGAAGGCAGACGCTTAACAACTGAGCCACCCAGGCGCCCCTAGTTGCATCTATTTAAAAAAATAATCTGGGGCACCTGGATGGTTCAGTCGGCTAAGCGTCTGCCTTCGGGTCAGATCATGATCCCAGGGTCCTGGGATTGAGCAGTGTCTGGCTCACTGCTCAGCAGGGAGTCTGTTTCCTCCCTCTCCCTCTGCCCCTCCCCTGAACTCATACTCTCTCTCTTGCTCTCTCTCTCTTGCTCTCTCAAATAAGTAAAATCTTTTTTAAAAAAATCCAGTTGAGGGGCGCCTGGGTGGCTCAGTTGGTTAAGCGACTGCCTTCGGCTCAGGTCATGATCCTGGAGTCCTGGGATCGAGTCCCGCATCGGGCTCCCTGCTCAGCGGGGAGTCTGCTTCTCCCTCTGACCCTCCCCCCTCTCATGTGCTCTCTCTCATTCTCTCTCTCTCAAATAAATAAATAAAATCTTTAAAAAAAAAAATCCAGTTGACAATCTCTGCCTTTAAAAAAAAAAAATTATTTGAGAGAAAAAGAGTGTGCAGGCATGCCCAAGAGGGGTGAGGGGGAAAGGGCAGAGTAGAGGGAGGGAATCTCAGACAAACTTCACACTGAACGAAGAGCCCCTCGCGGATCTCACAACCCTGAGATGATCTGAGCTGAAAACAAGAGTCAGACACCTAACTGAGCGACCCAGGTACCCCAACAATCTCTCCCTTTTGAGTGCAGTGTTTAATAAAGTTGATGTGAAATGTTGGGGTCCTGGAGTGAACAGTCAAGAAAGAATTCTTGAGACGTCTTCAGTGTGAAAGGGTGGTTTTATTAAAGCGTGGGGACAGGACCTGTGGGCAGGAAGAGCTGCAATGGGGCATGAGGAGTGGCCCATTATAGACTTTCCTTTTTTAAAAAGATTTTATCTATTTGACAGAGAGAGATAGTGAGAGTGGGAACACAAGCAGGGGGAGTGGGAGAGGGAGAAGCGGGCTTCCCGCGGAGCAGGGAGCCTGATGCGGGGCTGGATCCCAGGACCCTGGGATCATGACCTGAGCCGAAGGCAGACACTTAAGGACTGAGCCACCCAGGCGCCCCCATTATAGACTTTCAAGTTGGGAGGGGGTTAGGGATAGCATAAATCTCGAAGGAATTTGGAAGCAAGGTTTCCAGGATTTGAAGGTCTAGTTGTTGTAGGAAAAGGGCATTTATTACTGTTTAATAACAACCTCAGTCATGGGGCGCCTGAGTGGCTCAGTCGGTTAAGCGTCTGCCTTCGGCTCAGGTCATGGTCCCAGGGTCCTGGGATCAAGCCCCGCATCGGGCTCCCTGCTCAGTGGAGAGTCTGCTTCTCCCTCTCCCACTCTCCCTGCTTTTGTTCCCTCTCTCGCTGTCTCTCTCTGTCAAAAAAAAAAATCCTAAAAAAAAACCCAACAACTTCAGTCATGAGATCCTTCAGGTGTGTATCAGTGGGCTATATGCTTGATGATAGCTAACATATATCTTGCGAGGTAGAGATAAAGGATGTTTCCCAAGGGATTTTTATATGTTAAAGAAGATTTACAGGATCCTGGAGGTCGGGCTAATGTCAGTCTAAGGTTGCCTTTTGCCTCTAGCAAAGGATTAGCAACCAGGCAGTTAGTTGAGTGTGGAGGAAGGTCACTCTGCCTGTCTTAAGTAGTTGTTAATGGGCTGCAAAGGAAACTTCATTTATTTCTACATTTCTTTAGCCTTTGTTTTCACATCAAAGTCACATTTGGCATTATTATTGACATGGTTGGATTTACATCTGCCATTTTGCTGTTTGTTTTCTATGTGTCTCATGTATATTTTTGTTCCTCCTTTACCACCTTCTTTTGTATTAAATAGATATTTATTAGTGTACTGCTTTAATTCCTTTGTTGATTTTCACTTAGTAGTTGCTCTAGGAATTGCAGTATACAGACTGATTTTTCACAATCTACTTCAGATTAATACTAATTTCGTTCCAGTAAAACTTTTCTCCATCATAGCGCCATTCTTTCCTTCCTCCTTTGTGAGATAATTGTCACACATATATAAAATAAATCTAACAATACAGTATTTTAATTATTGTCCCTCCCACTTAGGATCCACTTATAGATATAGATACACAGGGGCGCCTGGGTGGCTCAGTCGTTAAGCGTCTGCCTTCAGCTCAGGTCATGATCCCAGGGTCCTGGGATTGAGCCCCGCGTTGGGCTCCCTGCTCCGCGGGAAGCCTGCTTCTCCCTCTCCCACTCCCCCTGCTTGTGTTCCCTCTCTTGCTGTGTCTCTCTCTGTCAAATAAATAAATAAAATCTTAAAAAAAAAAAAATAAAGGACATACACAGGATGCCTGGGTGGCTCACTTGGTTAAGTGACTGCCTTTGGTTCAGGTCATGATCCTGGAGTCCCAGCACTGAGTCCCGCATCGGGCTCCCTGCTCAGCGGGGAGTCTGCTTCTCCCTCTGACCCTCCCCCCTCTCGTGCTCTCTCTCTGTCAAATAAACAATAATAAATCTTAAAAAAAAAAATAAAGGGCATACACATTTTTATGGCTCTAAACCTATATTACCAAACTAAACATTGGTCCTTTATATAATAGCAACCGCCACCACCACGTTTTTGATAGCTCTTTGTAGGCTCCAAAGTAGTTTTTTTTTTTTTAAAGATTTTATTATTTATTTGACAGAGAGACACAGCAAGAGAGGGAACACAAGCAGGGGGAGTGGGAGAGGGAGAAGCAGGCTTCCCGCGGAGCAGGGAGCCTGATGTGGGGCTCAATCCCAGGACCATCATGACCTGAGCTGAAGGCAGACGCTTAATGACTGAGCGACCCAGGTGCCCCTCTTTTGTAAAATTTTAAAAAAGATTTTATTTTTAATTTTTTTAAAAAAGATTTTATTTATTTATTTGACAGGGAGAGACACAGCGAGAGTGGGAACACAAGCAGGGGGAGTGGGAGAGGGAGAAGCAGGCCTCCCGTGGAGCAGGGAGCCTGATGCGGGGCTCGATCCCAGGACCCTGGGATCATGACCTGAGCCGAAGGCAGACGCTTAACGACTGAGCCCCCCAGGCGCCCGGCTCCAAAGTAGTTTTATATCTATTATGTCATTTGATATTTACAACAGTCTTTTGAGTCCAGGATTGTGTCCCTTGTTTGCCAGGAAAACAGTCTCCGTCATTACCAGATATGACACGATGAGGCTGTGGCAGAGCTGAGCTGAGAAGGCAGACCCTGCTGCTGCCTCTCCTCCTCTCAAGCCTTCAGAGACCCAGTTCCTCTCTCCCCACCCCAGGACTTTCCCAAGCAGCCTTACCTGCAGCCCCCGCTCAGCATCCTGGTGATTGAGCACCGGGCCTTTGGCTGCACCGTGCTTGTCGGTTCCCATATTGTCTCCCACATGCTGCGATTCATACTCCGGGGTCATGAGGATCCCCCCGAGGAGGAAGGAGAAGAGGAGGAGAGAGGGGACCTAGTGCTCAAGGGGCCACAAGGTAAGGGGCCACCAGACAGAAGCCCCTCTGGTTCCTGGTTGAGATGGCTCCAGGGAGTCTGACTTCTACTCACGTGACCTCCTCCTGGTATCATTTCCCCTCTCCCAGGACAGAAGTCCCTGGATCCCTTCTTGGCTGAAGTGGGGATGTCCAGACGGCTTCTGAAGGTGATGGGGTATGGGAGATGGGTGGAGAAGGGGCTGGCGGGGCTAAGGGTGGTGCTGGGTTAGGGGCACTGAGTTCTCTCGCCCTTAGGCTCCTCTGAAGAAGCTCCCCTTGGGGAGCCTCCTGAACCAAGGCCCTGAGCTGGAGGAGGACATCCCAGATCCTGAAGAGCTTGACTGGTGGTCCAAGTACTACGCCTCGCTGCAGGAGCTCCAGGGGCAGGTGGGGGTAGGGGTGGGTCCCGGGCTGCAGCTGGAGGTTGAGGAGGATAAATGGCAAGAAGAAGGATCTCGTGAAATGTGGCGTGAGATGCTCCACAGCTTTTCAGAGCTCTTCATTAGATACCTCTTCTCATCTTCGTAACAGTTCTGGAAGCTGAAAATTACTAACTCTATTATCTACAGCTGTGCTGTCAGAAATATGTGAGCCACCTATGTCATTTTAACTTCTTAGGTAGACAGATTTTTTAAAAAGTAAAAGGAAAGAGGTAAAATTGATCTTAATAATACATTTTGTTTAACCTAACGTATCTAAAATACCATTTCGGGCGCCTGGGTGGCTCAGTTGGTTAAGCGACTGCCTTCAGCTCAGGTCATGATCCTGGAGTCCCGGGATCGAGTCCCGCATCGGGCTCCCTGCTCGGCAGGGGGTCTGCTTCTCCCTCTGACCCTCTTCCCTCTCGTGCTCTCTGTCTCTCATTCTCTCTCTCTCAAATAAATAAATAAAATCTTTAAAAAAAAAAAAATAAAATACCATTTCAACAAGGAACCATTATACAAAATTAATAATGAGATATTTGACATACTTATTTTATACTAAGTCTTTAAAATCTGGTGTGTATTTTACACTTACGGCACATCTCAATTCAAGTGCTCACTAGACACATGTAGCTGGGGGTTACTTCTGGGGCAGCGCAGGACTAGACAAACTGAAGCTTTGAAAATGCAAGTGGTTCACACAGCTGGACCTTGAACTGAAGTTTCCCAACTCCCTGTTCTGGAAAAGGGGTAGATTAAGGAGGTGAGGGGAAGGGAAGAATCTCTGACTTGCCCTTTGATTTCAGACCAACTTTGAGGAGGATGAAATGGATGATCCCGGGCAGTCAGGTAGGAGATTTGGCTTTCTTGTTCCTGCTCTCTGTCTCCCTCCTTCCTCTGACACCAGTATTTTTAACTGTGGCATTTCTGCTATTCCCAGATGGGGTCAACCTCATTTCTGTGGATGGGGAGGCCCAAGACCAGGGTCAGGGTGAGGCTGAAGTCAAAGGCTCCATATCCCAGAAGAAAGCAGTAGCCACCCTGAAGGTGAGTGGGTATCTGGGAGAGAGAATTGTGCTAGGATTCTGGCCATCGGCCTGTCACTGAGGCCCTTGCTTTTCAGATCTACGATGGCACCCTGGAGGAAGAGTTTAACCACTTTGAAGACTGGCTGAATGTGTTTCCCCTGTACCGAGGGCAAGGGGGCCAGGATGGAGATGGAGAAGAAGAAGGGTCTGGACATCCTGTAGGCAAGTTCAAGGTATGTTTGGGGAAAGAAGAGAGGCAAGGAGTACAGATGGGGATGTAGGAGGAAGACTCTCTTCCCAGGGATTTTTCTGTCTCCCCCAAATCCAGGGATCCTTCCTTATTTACCTGAATCAGAGGCAGTGTCATTCTCTGAGCCCCAGATCTCCCGGGTAGTCCCACAGAACCGGCCCATCAAGCTCCTGGTCAGAGTACATGTGGTAAAGGTGAGCATCCCATCACCCCACCCCACCTCCGACTCCAGCTAAGGTAATATACAGAAAACCTACAGACTGAAGGATTTGGAAGGAACCTTAGAGTCTACCTCCTTCATTTTTCAGGTGGGGAATCTTAGGCACAAGTGAAGAGACTCCCCAGGGTTACAGAGCTTGCTCATGGCACAATCCGGATTTAGAGCTTAGGTCTTCTGACTCCTTTTTCATAGTTCTAGACCCTTAGTTCATAGCATGGCGAGTATAACTCCAAGAAGAGTGCAGCTCTGAATCTCAAGTTTCACAATCGCTTGTCGTTCAATACCTTCATACAGGTCCTTGCCTTGCTGTGGTTTGCATACAGCACTCAGCAGGGCCCTGAAGTTTCCTGAAAGGCATCTCAGGGAATTGAGAGGAATGAGTGGGTTGCTCTGTTCCCTTCGATCCCAGCCCCAGAATAGATACTGTGCTTTTATCTGGTTTAAATATAAGGATTCTGAGCAAGACAGAAATTAAAGAAATGTTCTGTGGCATATCCTAGTGCACAATGCGACGGTAGGAGTCGTTTTGATCTTCTGCTTCTAGCAATATCACAGACTAGATGGTCTGAAATAACTTCCCGATGTAATACATCTAGAACTGCTGGATAAACAATCTTAAAGGAATGCTAAGCTTATAAGAATGGGCAATGGAATGGAAAAATAAGAATTCCCAATGGGCATAGGATGAAGAGGCAGCAGGAATCCCAGTCCCTGAAGTACAGGTTGTCTTGAGAGGTTTGTCCACACCTGGACCCGAGCCTTGGTTCCTAATAACCTATTGAAGATGGGAGCCACAACCAAGACCCTTGCGTGAAGCAGCGCCCAGGAAGGGCTCTGCTCTTCGTGAAAGGTGGGCCAGAGGAAGTCTACCCACTGGGAAAGGAACCTTTTAGGGAAATGGTCTGTTTCAGCTTCTGCTTCAACTGGGGGAAATAGAAAACAATGTCTTCCCCAAGAAATGTATTATCTTATAGTTCCGAAGGGCAGAAATCCGAAATAGGTTCTACTGGACTATATCAAGTTGTTGGCAGGGCTGCATTCCTTCTAGAGACTCTTGGGGAGAATCATTCCCTTGCCTTTTCGAGTTCCTGGGGGCTGCCTGTGTATCTTGGCTCATGGCCTCTTCTTCCATCTTCAGAGCCAGCAGGGTAGCAATTTCAAATCTCTCTCGGACTCTCCTGTCTCCCCTCTACTTATAAGGACATTTGTGGTTACATTGGGTTACCTGGATAAACTAGAATAATCTCATGATTCTTTTTTTTCACATTCAGTATTTCTATTTACTTGTTTAGCAGACAGTTTACATATCTCCCCACCCTTTCCTTTAATTAGTATGACAGTTTTCCATAATAAACTACTTAAAGAGAAGCTTTGGTTGAGAATGGAATGCCAATCTCGTGATTCTTAACCACATCTGCAGAGTTCCCATTGACATGTCAGGGGATTCGAAGGTGGACATCCTTGGTGGTGGGGGAGCACTATTCTGCCTGCCACAGAATGTAAATTGCTATAACAGCTTGAGAGAACAATTTGACATATTTAGGAAAATAGAAGATTTTCATTGTCAATACCTAATAATTATACTTCTAGATATGATCCCAGGCAAATTCTTACATATGTATACAAGGAAACATAAGAATTGCTCATCCTAGCATTATTTGTAACAAAAAAAAGTTTTTAAAAGATTTTATTTATTTATTTGAGAGAGAGAGACACACACAGCATGAGCAGGGGGAGGGGCAGAGGGAGAAGCTGACTCTCCGCTGAGCAGGGAGCCCGATGCGGGACTCCATCCCAGGACCCTGGGATCATGACCTGAGCCAAAGGTAGCCTAACCGACTGAGCCACCCAGGCGCCCCTCCCAACACAAATTAGGATGAATTCATGGGTGGAGCTAGAGAGTATAATGTTAAGTGAAATATGTCAGTCAGAGAAAGACAAATGCCATGATTTCACTCATATGTGGAATTTAAGAAACAAAACAAATGAGCAAAGGGAAACAGACTCGACTATAGAGAACAAACTGATGGTTACGGGGGGCAAGGGGGGCGGGGAATGGGTGAGACAGGTGAAGGGGATTAAGGAGGGCACTTGTCGTGATGAGCACCGGGTGATGTATGGAAGTGTTGAATCACTATATTGTACACCTGAAACTAACAGAACGTTGTGTATTAACTAACTGGAATTAAAATAAAAACTTAAAAAAATTAAATTTGGGTGAAGTAAGCAAATTGGATGATTTCCAGTTTGTGGAAGTTGGCACCAACAGGGCATTTCCCCTTTCTCTTCCTGAAAATCATCCAAAACCAAAGGGAACAACAAAAATCCAGCTTCTGCTTATGGTGAAATCAGGAAAGAATTACAGCTGCAAACCAGCAGGAAGCCTAGGAGAGCTATCAAGAGCTGCGTGGTTGAAGTTGTGTGTGTGTGTGTGTGTGTAAGGGGGTGAGGACATCACTCAGTGGAGCTCAGTGTCAGCAGCGTCTGTGTTTCAAAGGGGAAGGGCACACCTGAAGGGTTAAAGCCTGCATTGCTCACTGAAAGCTAAAAATACTGGAGAAAATGTAAAAACCTCTTTAAATGTAGTGCTGAGCTTCCCAAGAAAATACGTGGTTTTAGAGGGAAAAAATTAAAAGCAGGAACTGTTTTAAAATCATGTACCCAGGATTTTGTTATTATCCATGTATGGCAAGGCCAACAGATCAGATTGCCTTTGAAAGATAGTCTGGGGACACCTGGGTGGCTCAGTCGGTTGGGTGTCTGCCTTGGGCTCGGGTCGTGATCCCAGGGTCCTGGGATGGAGTCCCGCATCGGGTTCCCTGCTTAGCGGGGAGTCTGCTTCTCCTCCTCCCTCTGCCTGCCACTCCCCCTGCTTGTGTGCTCACTCACTGTCTCTGACAAATAAATAAAATATTAAAAAAAAGAAGAAGAAAGATAGTCTGTTGTTTGTTTCAGTCCTCAAGAGGAGGGGGTGGGCTGGCGGTACAGGGCCACACAGGGAAGTCCAAAGGAGAATGCAAGGGCCAGAGCCTCTGTTGTGGTTTCTGCAGGAAAAGCAAGGCAAGGCAGGGTAAGCAGACTTAGGATTGGTTAGTGTGAATAATTCCAGCAGGCTCGTGGGTACAGGGGCTGTCTCGTTGTCTCTTGTCTGGTACCTGGCTCTGGAGTGATTAGGACAGAGGAATTTACTTCCTGGAGTAGAAGAGCCAGATGGAGGAGATGGTTCAGAGCATGGGCTCTGGATTGGTTGGTTCCCATATGAAAGGTGCCCTGGGCAGTGAGTTATCATACACAAAGTGAATAAGCACATGCAAAGATGCTCAACATGGTTCGTCATCAGAGAAATGCAAATTAGATCACAGTGAGCTACCACTTTGCATACACTAGAATGGTTAAAATAAGAAAGACTGATAATACCAAGTGTTGCTAAAGATTTGGAGCAACTGGAATGCTCATACCACTGCAGATAGGAGTGTAAACACTAAAAATATATTGCTGTATATAAATTATACTTCAGTAATTTGTTATGTATTTATTAAATGATGTAGTTATCAAGCCAGAGAAGTAAGTGTAATACATAAAGTTAAAAAACATGCAAAATGGTGCTATATATTGCTTAGGGATGTGTGTACATGTAGTAAAACTATTTTCACTTTTTTTGTGTGAGTCCTAAACCTCAAGTAAAGGGTTCTGGCTACTTCAGGGATGAAGAGGGAATTAAATCAGGTAAGGGGATTCCATTTGTTGGTAGTGTTTTCTTTATTAAGCCGGGCACACACATGGTCATTGATTTATTTTTATATTAGTTAAAATATCTTTATCATTGTAAAAAATAAAAGTGAATAATACAGAAAGTTATGGTTTGAATATTAAAGCCCTATACATCTTTCCACATATTTTCTTTCATTATATTTTTCATTATACCTATTTGTATGTCTTAAACATTTCATAATTAATTTAAAAGAAAATAAAAATCATGTCGAACCTCTCAGTTAATTCCTCATGGTGGGAGATCTCTCCTTGGTAACTTGCTGCTTACACTTAACTCTGAGATTTGGTCTAGCAAGGGTAACCTTGGGTTACAACCATGACAATTCTCTCAGCCCCACCTCCTGTCCCCCTAGGCCACCAACCTGGCTCCTGCGGACCCCAACGGCAAGGCAGACCCTTACATGGTGGTGAGTGCTGGCCAAGAGCTGCGGGACACCAAGGAACGCTACATCCCCAAGCAGCTGAATCCCATCTTTGGAGAGTGAGGCTGGGCCCTGGGCTTGGGAATGGGAGCACCTTTACCCTCTGACCCGGGGGCCCCAGGGCTCCCATTCAGGCAGCTGGCGTGGTGATGGTGAGGGAATGGGCAGAGGCTGCTGAGACCCCTGGAGCCCCTGCCCCCACAAGACCACCTCCTAGGGCATGGGGGTGTCCTCAGCCATTCTCCCTCCTGGCCAGGGTCCTGGAGCTCAGCGTCTCTCTCCCTGCCGAGCCGGAGCTGACTGTGGCTGTGTTTGATCATGACCTCATGGGTTCTAATGACCTCACTGGGGAGACCCACTTTGACCTGGAAAACCGATTCTATAGCCACCACAGGGCGAACTGTGGGCTGGCCTCCCAGTATGACGTGTGAGTCCTACAGACCCTCAGGAGCCATTCTGAGTCTGACCAACGATATTCAAGTTTACATTCCCATTGGTGTGTCCAGATCCTTTGATTTCATAGAAGGGGAACTCCCCATGACCAAGACTATATAGCATAGTGGGTCAAAACCTGGGCTTAGGATTTGGGGTCTTATAATAAGTCACTTGATCTCTCTGAGCCTCTGTTTCCTCAGCTGCAAAATTGGAGGTAACACCAGTATTTCCTCCATTGGAGAATGTGGCATACATCTTCGGTTTTCATGGTTACCATAAGGGAGGACTAATCTGCTTCCTGGATCCCATGTCTTCAGGGGTCCCCATCCCTGCCCCTGTGCCCACTGTGTCCATATGCTGACCCCAACTGAGGCATTTTTCTCTTTCTGCCCACAGGGATGGGTACAATGCCTGGTGGGATGCATTCCGGCCTCCGCAGATCCTGGCGGGGCTGTGCCAACGCTGTGGCCTCTCCCGCCCTGAGTACCGAGCCGGGGCTGTCAAGGTGGGCAGCAAAGTCTTTCCGACACCGCCTGAGACCCTGCCCCCAGGTACCAGCCCCTCTCTGATGGACAACCCCGAGGGAGCAAGATGGTGAAACAAGGTACAGGGGGCCCCTGGGGCCTACTCTAGTGTGTCCCCAGAACAGCCTATCTCCTTTGGCAAGCAGAGGAAGGGAGTTTGGCTGAGTAAGGACGAGGTTCTTGGATGAAGGGGAGAAAATGGTCTTTGTAGGTGAGCATGATCCTCAGAGTCAAAGCAGACCCCTCAGAGGCATAGCTAATCAAGCTTCCAGAACATAGGGTGGCCCATAGGGGGTCCCATATGACAAGACATGGCTGCAGACTTGAGCTCATGCCTCATAAATGGTTGGTGGTCTGTCCCTAAACAAGAGTCTTCGCAAAGCCGTGGCCCCTCCAATCCCACTGTCCCTCGACTGCTGGCTTTTCACTGGGAAAAGTTGTTAGAGAAGCATCTCCCCACTTTCTGTGCCTTGTGGACTTGCCCTCCCAGCCCATGGGCTTCGTCCCAAACAGCAGCTCCCTCAGCTATGCACTTCGGTTGAGCGGTGGGGGAGGAAGGCAGGAGAGCTGGGAACTGTGTGCAGAAGCCAAGCTTGCGCACCTCTTGTTGCAGGTGGGGGGGCCCCCGGGGGCCAGGGAGGTCCCCGAGGAGGCGCAGGCGCTGCTGGTGCTGCAAGAGAGGCCGGAGCTTGGGATCCAGCTGGTGCCCGAGCACGTGGAAACTCGGCCCCTCTACCCTCCCCGTAGCCCAGGGCTGCTGCAGGTGAGGGAGGGCTCAGCACCCAACCCCAGAACCCCAGGATTCCCACCTGCTCCTGGACCCTGGGCCCTCGGGATACCCTTTCCCCAAGACCTCTACTGACCACTTCCGATTCTGGCTCCTGATCCTGGTCCCCAGCATTCCCACTCCAGTCTTAGACCTCCATCCTGGACTCCATACCTCCACCCCGGACTTTGTCCCTGCAGGATCCCCCACCCCGGGGCCCCCAAGGCTCAGACCTGGCACTCCCAATCTGACCTCAACACCAGATCCCTAGGATCTGGACCTTGGGAACACCAGATCTTACTTTTGACCTCAACCTTCCACTCCAGGGCCTGATCCTTAACCTCAGCACTGGAACCCCCACTTCAGACTCTACCTTCATTTCCCGCCCGCACCCCCCACCTGCCACCCCGGGATCTACCCGACTGTGCCCTCTTGACCCCAGCTCTTGCCTTCGTCAGGACAAGGCACAGCCTCTAGCCACAAGGCTATCAGGGGAGGTGAGGTCCTCAGTGGGACCCTTCAGCCTGGTCCTGTGTTCCCAGGGATCCCTTCCCATGTGGACCGATATCTTCCCCTGTGATGTGCCTGCCCCACCCCCAGTTGACATCAAGCCTCGACAGCCAATCAGGTGAGCGCTCTGACCCTTCCTCCCCTGGGACAGGCACAGGCTGGTGACCCAGGCTTTTCAGTTAGGTGAGCCATTAATTTCCCTTCCTTGTCAGGGGCTATGTCACTTGTACCCAAAAGAGCTTAAATACCAATAAACCCCCTTCGGACTTGAGCTCGTCAGAGTGGAGTTGTGCGTAGGGGATTCATACTTCAGATGTCCGCAATCTGTCACTTTCTCCCTCTGGGCTCGCTTTCCTTGCTGTCGCTCTCAGGGCGGCTTCTGCGGTCTGGGGGCAGGTGGCTGCTGCTAACAGTGCCAGGCTTACATCTACCAGCTAGACTCCTCGAGCAGAAAACTAAACACGCCTTTACTGGCAAGAGCAAAAGTCTCGAGGCTGACTCTCCTCGGATCAGCCTGCTTCGAATGCTGATCCCTTAACCAATCCTTGTGCTTGGGGGGCTGGGATACACTGGCCAGTCCTGCGTGATGGCCTAGGGGGTGTCACCACCTCTGGAGCCAGGGGGAGGTGGGTCTTCCCCACTAGAACCACACAGACTGCCAGTGTGGGGGTCGGGGGGCGGGGCTCACCAACAGGAAATCACGGCGCTATCAACAAATGAGGGGAAATTGCTGGTGGGCAAGAGAAAACGAGATAGCCCGGAAAACCCAGGACAGCCAAGGACAGGGCTACTTGGGGTAGCACAGGAAAGTTGGAGCCCCTCCTTCTGCCCCTCAGGGACTGCTCGCTCTCATCCCCACTTTGCCTCTCTCCCCCTCCCACATGTCGCTGCAGACTGGCTTTCTCTCCCCTGTACCCTAGAACTGCAGCTTGCATGTCACCCTGGCTGGTGGCAGCTCCGGCTCTGTGTCTGATGTTACTCAATCTTTCAGGCTCCGGATTCCAAATTTACGGGAGAAACTAGTTAGCCCAGCTTTGGTCAACAGACCATTCCTGGTGCCATCTGCTGGGGGGGGGGTGATCCCCTTCAGTCCCACAGACACCCTGATCACCCAGCTGGGCACATGGAGGTGCTCAGTGAACGTGATGGCCATGGCCTAGGTCCTTCCTGCTTCCTGCAGCCCCTGTCAGGACCCCCTCAAGAGTCTGCAAACTCTCTTCCACTATATCCCCCAGCTATGAGCTCAGAGTCATCATCTGGAACACGGAGGACGTGGTTTTGGATGATGTGAACCCACTCACTGAAGAGCTGTCCAGTGACATCTAAGTGACATCCTCAGTGGGACCCTTCAGCCTGGTCCTGCAGGTCTGGGACTATGACCGTGTCTCCGCCAACAACTTTCTTGGTACGGCTTGGCCTTCCTCCTGCCTCACCCCCGGGGCCCCAATTTCTGCCCCCGTTGCCCCTGCCCCTCTGGCCCATGGTTCCCTACTCTAACCCAGCCCTGAATCCTGGGTTTCAGACCCTAGGTCGCTAATCTTGGCTTTCTGGCCTCATTACTGAACTTAGCCCAGAGCACAGTGACCTCCATTCCCACCCAAAGTCCCCGATCCAAGGTCACTTTGGACTCTGACACCGTGGTCCCTGCTTTGGCATTCTGGCCCCATCCTTGGCCGTTTCGCCAGGCTCTGATAAGCTGCTGACCCGTGGGCTGTGCTTCTGATGCCCCGAGGCATAGTCCTGCTGTGCGGCCTCCTCCCCCGGGGCCCAGACAGACCTTGATCTCTCGCCTAACCCAGGGGGCTCTGGACTTGCAGGATCCCTGGAGCTGCAGCTGCCAGACATGGCGCAGGGGGCCTGGGGCCCCCGAACTCTGCTCCGTGCGACTGGCCCACGACGGGGCTGGGCCCAGGTGCAACCTCTTTCGCTCACGCCGCTTGCGGAGCTGGTGGCCTGTGGTGAAGCTGCGGGAGCCAGAGGCTGAGCCCAGGAGCAGCGCGAGGCTCCAGCGGGCAAGAAGAGGCGGAGGAAGAGGAGGAAGGACCGGCCCAAGGACTTGGCGTTCACAGACCCTGGAGGCGACGTCCACATCCTCATGGTGGGTGCGGCGGGGGCGGGGGTGGGGCCGGGCCTGAGCCCCCCTCCGAGCGCCGCCTCTGTTCCCCCTTCTCTAGGGGAAGGTGGAGGCAGAGTTTGAGCTGCTGACCGCGGAGGAGGCGGAGAAGTGGCCGGTGGGGAAGGGGCGGCAGGAACCTGAGCCCTTGGACAAGCCCAAGTGAGGGGGCAGCACGGGAGGCGGGGATCGAGCTGCGGCGGCCCAGGGGCTTCCTCGGCGTTCCAACGCCTCCCTCGCAGCCGCCCGAAGACCTCCTTCAGCTGGTCTGTGAACCCGCTGAAGACCTTCCTCTTCCTCAGGGGGCGCCGCTGCTGCTGCTGGCCCTGCTCACCGTCTTCCTCCTCCTGGTCGGCTACACCATGCCCGGCCAGATCAGCCAGGTCACCTCCCGCCCCCTCCACCGGCCCTGACCCTAACCGACCATGGACCCTCTTCCCGGAACCCCAGCCCCTCAAATCCCTTTCCTGGGGAGTCCGTCTCACCCACACGAGCTGTTTGAGTTCACTGCTTTCCTTGAATAAACTTGACTGTGCCTCCCCTCTGACGCCTGGACATAGCTGTACGTGGTAATACAAGGGGCGGAAAACCGAAATGTTCCTGGGTGACAGGTGCTGGGGAGTCACCCAGGGGTGGAGAGCTGCCCCGAGGAAGAACGGGACCTGGCAAGAAGTTCAAGGAAGAGGAGTCCTGGCCACTGAGCTGTCATGCCCTCTGAGCAGCCTACCTGTTGCGCCTGCTCCTGACAATGACTGGGTCCCTTTCACTTAACCTGCTATGGCTTCTGCCACCCATTCCGTGACAGCTAAGCACTCTGCGTACGTCATTAGCTTGTTTATTCTTCCACGCTGAGAGTAAGCACATCACACTTTCGGTTGCAAAGAGAAATCCCAACCCAAGCTGGCTTAAGCAAAAAGGGATTCTGGGGAGCCGGCATAGCTGCAATTCCCAGGGTTTAGCTGGCAGCTTGTCACAGGGTGCAGATGATGTCACTAGGACTGGTTCTCTGCCTCTGGGCTCAGCTCTGCTGCCCTCTGGGGGCTAGCTCATTTGTAGACAGGGTCCGCCCTCAGAACTGCAGGATGGCAGCACCAACCTCACTGTCTGCCCACATTCACATCCAGGAGAAAGCTTTCCTAGTCCTGAAGGAGCCTGGCCCGCACTGGGTCACTGGGGGTGGGAGGGTGGGGTGGGGGGTGGGCTATGCTGATTGGGGCCTCCCTGGAGCTTAGGGTGGGAAATCAAACCTCCTCCCTAACACAGAAGCTGAGAAGGTAGACAGGGAGGTTCCTAGAGGAAATTCAGGACACTCTTGACAAGTAGGAGTGGTTTCTGGCTGACCAAAAAAACAAGGCTCACTATAACTGGCAATCTGATCTGCAACTTACAGAGGAGACCTGGCCAAGGTCACACAACTCGTGAGGGATCCCATCAGAGCTCAAGCTCAGGTCTTTCTGCCTCTAGATATTTTGCTCTCATCGTCCTACTTCGCTTCCTGTCCTACTTCCCTCCCTACTACTGTCTTACCCAGACACTCCCTGAGAAACGATCGGATGAACTGACCAGCCGTAACGTCCCTGCTTCCCCGGGCTGCCGCGCGGTGGGGTCCTGGGCCTAGCTCTGTGCACATATTAAGGGCTGTGATGGGAAGCCCTGATGAGCTCCAGAGCTGGGGGTCTGACGCTAGCCCTGCTCCAGAATGGCCACTGCTGCCGTCCTTCCATTTTCCAGTTCTGCCTCCACCTAGGAGATTGCACACGACCTGGCTGGACCCCTCTCAGTAGACTGAGCCCAGGGTGGCAGGGAGAAGCCCCAGAAGAGGTGGCAAGCCCCAGCCTGCACCCAGGGCTAGTACCCCTGGGGTCAGACCATCATGAGCCTGAGGGCCATGGTGGCTCCAGGAAGCTCATACGGGAAAGGTCCATCTCAGCCCTGGTGCTGAACCCAAAAGGCCCGAAGACCACCGCAGAAGAGGGACTGAGGACAGGGCTGTGGGATGGACATCCGTCTGGTTTGAATGCAGCCCTATGAGCCAGAGGATGTCCACGTGGGGCTCCCAGAGGGCATCTGGCCCGATCTGTCAGTCCTGACTGCCTTCAGTAAGTAGCTGTGATGAGGGGTTGTTTCTAGGCTCTGGCCAGACGCAAGAAGCACATGGAGACCAGCAAGTACTATCACAATCAACAGATTTATCAACCTGCACTGAGACTGGCGCTGAGTGGGGGTGGGGTGGGGAAGAGGCTGGGAATGACCACAGGGCCAAAGAGAAACACGAGAAGAAGAGAATAACAGAGGGGGAAGGAGACAACTACGTTGTCTTCCCGAGATCAATTTTCTTCTGGATGGCTCGAGCCGAGTGGTAGATGAGTGAATCGATGAGTCCAGCCACTGGGGAGAGACACAAGGGCTGGCACTGGCCCCGCTGGCCCCCAGAGCCCTGTCCCCTAACCGGCTAGGCCAGCATCTGCCCTTGGCCGTTGAGGTGCCCCTCCGTCCCCAACTAAAACTCTGGCAGGGAGCCCGGGCTTCACATGCCCCGCCCCGCCCCAGCCCCAGACAGACGCCCTGGAGCTTCTAACCTGTGAACATGCCCCCGATGATGGCGCACACGCCCGTCAGGAAGTGCGTGAAGGACCTGGCGGAGGGACGGGGCGGGGGTCAGCCGGCACCCCTCCTCCCCGCAATCCCGGGCCCCTCCCTTCCGCCACCCTCACCTGTGCTTCTCTGTCAGCTTCACCATCATGGGCGACAGCTCATACAGCACGAAGACTCCGGGAAGCCCCTGGTCGCCCATCAGCCCATTGGCGACCTTCTCGTGTCTGGTCACAGAGAACTGATTTGTCCTCAGCACCTGGGACAGGAAGGAGTCTGGGCCGGGGCCGAGGCTGTGACCTGGCTCCCAACCCCCTCAGCCCTACGCCTGCTTCTGCCCTTGTCCGGAGCGCCCGGACTGTGTGGGAGAGAAAATGAGGCCCCAGGTTGCTAATGAACACCACAAGGCCCGGGGGCCACCCAGACACACTCTCAGCCTCACCGCCCCGGCTTCTGGTCCGGATCCCGGCTACAAGGGGCGGATCCTCTCAGCGCGGGTTCAGGGATGGGAAACGCCTCGCCAAGGCTGCACCATGAGCTCCTGGCAAGGCCAGGCCTGACTTCCTGTCTGCCGAGATGCTGCTCCACGGGCCAGAGCAGAAAGGGGAGGAGAGGACCCGGGAAGGGTTAGCCCCCAGCCCAGGGCAGACCGCGGGGACAGTGAGCACCAGACGAACGGATGGAGGCAGTGAGGGCAAGTAGAAAGTGCGAGTGCTTTCAAGTCTGACAGCCCGGGCCCTGCACTCTGGCTGTGAGGGTACATCACCTACCCCCCGCCCGGCTTGTCATCCATCATACGGGGATAAGAGCAGCACCCCACTTCCCAGGTCGGCAGGACTCAAGTGCTTGGCACCAAGAGGGACTCTGATACCTGAGCTCCTGCAGACTCACCTCCCCGTCTACCTTCATGTACACTGTGGGTACCACCTTCACGAAGTACTGGAACATCATGGAGGCTGCAGGGAGAGGAGAGCACCAGGCATGGGTGCCGGGCAGGGCTTTGGCAGCTGGGGGCTACCTCCCAGGCTGGTACCTTGGGGTGCGGTGACGTTGGTGCGGTCCAGGGGGTTCACAATGCCAGGGTAGTCCTCCCCGAATGACAGGTGCCGGATGTGGTGGGTCATGTTGATCTGCAAGCAACACCAGCACCTGAGCCTCAAGCACTCAAGGCCCCACCAGGCCTCACCCTATCAAAGGTCCTCGGGACAGCAGCAGACGGGATGCCCAGGTCTGGGGAGGGCATGTGTGGAGACAGGGGAGAGGGGGAGAGGTCCTGCCTGGGAGAATGTGACCAACCCAGGCCCCCCCATACCCCATCTGGGAACTCCTTTCTCACAGAGTCCACAGCCTCTGGGCCTCTAGTTTGAGGTTCTGGCCGCATCCAAGCACAAAGCAAGTAAAGGCTGGGCACGGACAGGCTGGCAGGTGTCCGCTCTGCCTGGAAGTCTCAAGCAAGGGGAGCCTGGACTGGGTGGGGGGAGGCGGGCAGATGTCCCGGCTCTGACTCCTGTCCTGTTCCAGTCTTTATTTTTATTATTTTTTTAAGATTTTATTTATTTATTTAAGAGAGAGAGCATGAGAGGAGAGAGGGTCAGAGGGAGAAGCAGGCTCCCCGCTGAGCAGGAAGCCCGAGGCAGGGCTCCATCCAGGGACCCCGGGATCATGACCTGAGCCGAAGGCAGTCTCTTAACCAACTGAGCCACCCAGGCGCCCCTTTCCAGTCTTTATTAGCCTCAGCCATTAGAGGGGTTTTTAAAAACATGCAAATCTGATTACATCATGACCCTGGTTAAAGGGTCAATAGCCTCCACCGCCCACAGGAGGGAGACCCAACCACTGCTCAGCCTGAGGCTTGTGAGGTCTGGTCCGGTCCGAGCCAACCTCTCCAGCCTCCTCCTCCACACCGGCCGCTGTGGGTTCTGAGAAGTGCTCCACTCCCTCCTGACGTGGCCGGAGGATCCCTCTGCCCAGGACACTCCGGTCCAGCCCCGTCCCCCATCTCCGGCCTGTGCAAACCTCACTTCTTAACCCTCAGACTGATCCCCTGGCAGAATATGGTATATTTTGGGGGTGCCTGGGTGGCTCAGTCAGTTAAGCGTCTGCCTTTGGCTCAGGACATGATCCCAGGGTTCTGGGATCAAGCCCCGCATCGGGCTCCCTGCTTCCCGGGGAGCCTGCTTCTCCCTCTCCCTCTGCCTGCCGCTCCCCCTGCTTGTACTCTCCCCCTCTGTCAAAAAAATTAAAAAAAAAAAAAGAATAAAAGAATTTTTATCTGCTCCCCCAACCCAGGACATCCCTACAGAGACACGAAGGTAGCAACCATCTCCCACGCCCATCCGCCCTGCATGGCTTCCGGCTGGTACGTACGTTGTCGAGGCCGAAGCTCTGCAAGTCATGGACTAGGAGAGAAGGGAGAAGATGTCACCAGGTGGAGAGGGACTGGCCTCCTGGCTCCCTGAGCGTCCTTGCTCAGGCCTCCTCACCCCTCTTGGAGTGTGACTGCCCAGCTCCTATGACCCTTCATCCCCCCTGTCAGTCCCGCCTTGGGCCTGTGTGTGTCTACGCCCTCCTCGG